TGTTATCAAAGCAAAGGGTGGCTATTTGAAGAATCTCAAATATAAAATATATTTAACACTTTCTTGGTTACTACTATATGATTCCATATGTGTTATTTCATATGTGTTATTTCATAGTTTTGATGTCTTCACTATTATTCTACAATGTAGAAAATAGTAAAAATAAAGAAAAACCCTTGAATGAGTAGGTGTTCTAAAACCTGTGACTGGTAGTGTATGTCTGCTATATTTTGTGTGGTAACATAATGCAGAGGGATTTGGCAAAGTGATGCTCCAGCAGTTTGATAAATGGTGTTTTAGTGACCTCTGGTGGAAAGAACAGAGAATGAGGGTTCTGAACTTCAAAGGGACATTTAAAAAAACTTCATTTTCATGATCTCCAGCAACACCCCAATCAAAAAGAGAGGAAGATAAGTGTTTCCAATGACATCATCAACCAATTAGTAGACAATTAGAAGGCAATTAGTAGGCAATGCCTACTCATCATTGGTTAAAATCATGATGCACATTAACAGAAAGTAGCCTATGGGTGAGAGGCGAGGAGCCATTTATGTGTTGTATAGTTTTTGTGATGTCACGTTTTGCCACTGTGAAGGGAAGGATACCTAGTCAGTTGCACAACTGAATGCCTTCAACCGAAACGTGTCTTCCGCTGCCTTAATCGACGTCGTCCGGGGAGCAGTTGTTGTTGCGAGGGGTTAACTGCCTTGCTCAAGGGCAGAACGGCAGATTTTTCCACCTTGCCAGCTCAGGGATTCAAATCAGCAACCTTTCAGTTACTGGCCCAATGCTCTTAACCGCCAGGCTACCTGGAAAGTAATGCATAAGGTGATTTTTTAAAGTCATTTTAGCAGATGCGTTTATCCAGAGCAACTTACAGTTAGTGAGTGCATACATAATTTTTTTTATTTTTCATACTGGCCCCCCGTGGGAATCGAACCCACAACCCTGGCGTTGCAAAAGCCATGCTCTACCAACTGAGCTACATCCCTGCCGGCAATTCCCTCCCCTACCCTGGACGACGCTGGGCCAATTGTGCGCCGCCCCATGGATCTCCCGGTCGCGGCCGGCTACGACAGAGCCTGGATTCAAACCAGGATCTCTAGTGGCACAGCTAGCACTGCGATGCAGTGCCTTAGACCACTGCGCCACTCGGGAGTGGTCAAGCTTTCAAGCTGATCACTTTTGTCAGGTCGATGACCATCGTCGATCAACGCTTTTCAAGGTGTGTTGCATTCTGGGGATAAGAATTGTCAGACTGACGCCTATGTAGCTCATGGGGATGAAAAATGTACTCCTCAGCCTGAATAGCGTTTAGCCTGGCGCAGAACGGTAAGACACTCCAGAAGGGCGTTCACGTGTGCGAGCAAGGCAGAGGTCCTGGGGTCGAGCAAGGCAGAGGTCCTGGGGTCGAGCAAGGCAGAGGTCCTGGGGTCGAGCAAGGCAGAGGTCCTGGGGTCGAGCAAGGCAGAGGTCCTGGGGTCGAGCAAGGCAGAGGTCCTGGGGTCGAGCCTCGGTGTGAGCTGAATCAGGGGGTAGTGGTACTCACTAAGCAAGCAGCGTGACATCCTTTACACCTACAGTGGGGAAAAAAAGTATTTAGTCAGCCACCAATTGTGCAAGTTCTCCCACTTAAAAAGATGAGAGAGGCCTGTAATTTTCATCATAGGTACACGTCAACTATGACAGACAAATTGAGAAAAGAAAATCCAGAAAATCACATTGTAGGATTTTTTATGAATTTATTTGCAAATTATGGTGGAAAATAAGTATTTGGTCACCTACAAACAAGCAAGATTTCTGGCTCTCACAGACCTGTAACTTATTCTTTAAGAGGCTCCTCTGTCCTCCACTCGTTACCTGTATTAATGGCACCTGTTTGAACTTGTTATCAGTATAAAAGACACCTGTCCACAACCTCAAACAGTCACACTCCAAACTCCACTATGGCCAAGACCAAAGAGCTGTCAAAGGACACCAGAAACAAAATTGTAGACCTGCACCAGGCTGGGAAGACTGAATCTGCAATAGGTAAGCAGCTTGGTTTGAAGAAATCAACTGTGGGAGCAATTATTAGGAAATGGAAGACAAACAAGACCACTGATAATCTCCCTCGATCTGGGACTCCACGCAAGATCTCACCCCGTGGGGTCAAAATGATCACAAGAACGGTGAGCAAAAATCCCAGAACCACACGGGGGGACCTAGTGAATGACCTGCAGAGAGCTGGGACCAAAGTAACAAAGCCTGCCATCAGTAACACACTACACCGCCAGGGACTCAAATCCTGCAGTGCAAGACGTGTCCCCCTGCTTAAGCCAGTACATGTCCAGGCCCGTCTGAAGTTTGCTAGAGTGCATTTGGATGATCCAGAAGAGGATTGGGAGAATGTCATATGGTCAGATGAAACCAAAATATAACTTTTTGGTAAAAACTCAACTCGTCGTGTTTGGAGGACAAAGAATGCTGAGTTGCATCCAAAGAACACCATACCTACTGTGAAGCATGGGGGTGGAAACATCATGCTTTGGGGCTGTTTTTCTGCAAAGGGACCAGGACGACTGATCCGTGTAAAGGAAAGAATGAATGGGGCCATGTATCGTGAGATTTTGAGTGAAAACCTCCTTCCATCAGCAAAGGCATTGAAGATGAAACGTGGCTGGGTCTTTCAGCATGACAATGATCCCAAACACACCGCCCGGGCAACGAAGGAGTGGCTTCGTAAGAAGCATTTCAAGGTCCTGGAGTGGCCTAGCCAGTCTCCAGATCTCAACCCCATAGAAAATCTTTGGAGGGAGTTGAAAGTCCGTGTTGCCCAGCGACAGCCCCAAAACATCACTGCTCTAGAGGAGATCTGCATGGAGGAATGGGCCAAAATACCAGCAACAGTGTGTGAAAACCTTGGAAGAATTACAGAAAACTTTTGACCTGTGTCATTGCCAACAAAGGGTATATAACAAAGTATTGAGAAACTTTTGTTATTGACCAAATACTTATTTTCCACCATAATTTGCAAACAAATTCATTAAAAATCCTACAATGTGATTTTCTGGAAAAAAAATTCTCATTTTGTCTGTCATAGTTGATGTGTACCTATGATGAAAATTACAGGCCTCTCTCATCTTTTTAAGTGGGAGAACTTGCACAATTGGTGGCTGACTAAATACTTTTTTTCCCCACTGTACATGTCGACTGCATGAACTTGACAAAAATCATGTGATCAAAGGTCATGACGTTTTGACTGCAAGTGTCTGCAGTTGCTTCTCACCAGCTGCACCATGCAGCCATCACCTGCATTGTGGAAGGCTCTATTGTCAAGCATTAGGGTGTTTTCGTTTTAACCATGCAAACGTGACCAAAACATGACTGAAACAAGAACACATTTGCAGGGATTTATGTGTACAGTGGATATATACAAATACATGTAATATTTGAGGCGCTCTCTCACTAATTGATTGTACAATGTACACACATAATATTATGATTTCAGTTTGAGTGTGTGATATGGGGGTTAGATACATGTTTATTTTGATGTCATCACGCTGAGTCTACCTTTAAATTATAAAGTCAGTCTCAATGTGACCCGCCAGATTAAGAAGCTTGAAAACCCCATCAGAAAAGAAAGCTTGAAAACCCCATTCGATTTTTGCCCCCCCAAAACAAAACTGAACATACTTCATGTTGGTTTTTATTTTATTTTAGTTGTTTTGGAGTCGAAGATAATAGTTTCAGTATAGTTGTAGTTTTTCAAACAGGTTTGTTCATTTTATTTCAGTTTACTAAGTTGTTTTTTCATGATTCGTTTTTGTTTTTTGTTTTTGTTTACTATAATAACCTTGGTGGTCACTCAATTGACAGAAAACCAGATATGGAGCAGCAGAATTCTCACAGGGAGGGTTGCTCAAGCCCTATGAAATCACTGTCCTATTGTTGCCTCACACAAAGGCCTGGGAGAAAACGACTCCATTTCAATTAGCTGGGCCTTTCTGCACCCATTCTGCTGCTGAAAGTTTGATGAGCCTGTGTCGGCTAGGTTGGCTGGGTGGTGCTCGGCTGGTTTGGCATTTACTCTGTGAGGGAAATGTGAGCTGCCTGGATGGGCCGTTCGCCCTACTCTTTGACCTCCACCAACCGTTAATGCCGCCTGCATCACTCTCTCGCTAATTAGTTTTCCTTTCCCATCCATACCACACGGGAGGGATTTTGTTCACGTTTACTAGGGGGTGGTAGTGTATGGTGCTTACAGGAAGTATACAGGATGACCCCCCCCCCCTCACATTCAAGTTCAGTTTGAAGCATTTCCCCCCACATGCATCTTTTACTCTGTGCATTTATTATTTTAATGAAAATGATGAGGACAGCAGTCTCATTGTGCTGCTAGTCGCTCTGCCCAAGGGGAGAGAATGACAAAGCTAGCAAGGTGTGGTTTTTCCACATGACCGCTCTACTGAACCACAGGTGGGACCGCTCTACTGAACCACAGTGGGACCGACCGACCTTCCACTCACTGGGGCTCAAATGTTGCTGTGGGAGCCAAGGAGAAAGAGAGAGAAGAAAGGAGAAGAGGGGGTGGAGAAAGAAAGAAATAAGGAAATGGAGAGAGAGACGTTGCTATGGGATGGAGAGGGGAGGGATAGACAGGAGGGGAGGGATAGAGAAAGAGAGGAGTGACGTCAGAGGGGAGTTTCAACCATGGTCAGACCGTAAGAAGGTATCAGAGCCATCCAGTGATCTGAAGAGGGGGTGTCGGAGGGAGGGAGGGAAATATGAGAAGAGCGTCACCCTGTGAGTGGCCAGCACCCTGGGGTTTGCCCTGACCTTTACTGTACCAGCCAGAGAGGAGGCAGGAGAGGAGGAACCCTGGGCTGGAAATGCGTGAGTGTGGGCTGAGGTGTGAGGGGCTCAGTGCTAAGGTGGCCAGCCAGGTCAGACAGCTGAGGAGGAGGCAGTGGACAACCCCTGGCTCTTTGGCTCCAGGCACCTCTAGGGAGGGAGAGTAGATGCCTGCTGCTGCCGTTACCCAGGGTGTACCCCTCAGCCTGGGGGCCCTGCCTGGCTCCAGCCTCCCCCTGCTGCTCCACCCGCTCCACACGGACTACTGTAGGCTAGGGGACCACAGCAGGGGCAGGGGACTCATTGTCATAGGGTAAGTCAAGTCCTGTTTTTCTGTGTGGAAGCTATAGTTAATTGATTATAAAAAAAGACATATTTGAGACATTTATCTCCACACCATTCATCTCTATTGCCTGATGACATCTAGTTTCAATTACATTTGGTTCTGTGTTTGACTTGGGCAGGAGCTCACCGGAGTTGAGAACCGGCACCTCACATTTTCCACAGCTTGAGCTCCTGTTCCTCTCATAGAATATTAGCTCAAAGTATTGTGTAGCTCCTGCCCCTAAATATAAACATTACCAGCACCCAAAACGAGTACCGGCACCTATTTCAGTCCAAGTCGAGCACTGATTTGGTTTCAGTTTCCATCTTGTAATGACTTTTCAGCGGTTTAACAGTTCCATTGCTCTATGACATAGTTAAATGTCATATTTGTAGCAGGCTGTGTATGTTGCCATAGTGTCAGGACACGTTGTTCATTATCCCAGCCAACACTCAGCATGGACTAGAAACGGCATTATCAGACAGTGTACATTTACCCCATACGCCCGTTTGTGCTACTTAGATTACATTGTGTACAAGAGACATTTAAATGTAAACCCAGGGACGTATTATTGAAGAAATTGAAACAATTTGACATTTGAAGTAAGTGGATATGAATAAAAAAATCTATATTAAAATGTTTTTAATTCTAATTCTGTCTATCCATTTTTATTTCACACTAACAACAACAAAAGATGAAGTAATGGACTAACTCATTCAGGCATGTAATTGTCGGCATATTTATTCCCCTGCCTTGTTCAGGTTGAATTATTAATGTCATAACTAGCAGGAGGATTAGGGGGGAAGTCAGTCAGTGGAAGAAAGCTGGCTTGGGTGCAGCTGTACGGGCTGGCTGAGGGTTTGTTACCGTCAGCGTGCTAATGTTGCTGGTGTCCTTTTGAACGGGACATCTGTTTGGCACTGTCACTCATCAGGTAAGCATGGAGGTGACATATCAGGTGTGACTCGACTGTTTTGTAGTCTATGTGGTATGTATAATGTATTCAAGATAATCACATAGGTATGGGACTTCCTCATCTGCCCTCCATCCACCTACCTACAGTGGGGGAAAAAAGTATTTAGTCAGCCACCAATTGTGCAAGTTCTCCCACTTAAAAAGATGAGAGAGGCCTGTAATTTTCATCATAGGTACACGTCAACTATGACAGACAAAATGAGAAAAAGAAATCCAGAAAATCACATTGTAGGACTTTTAATTTATTTATTTGCAAATTATGGTGGAAAATAAGTATTTGGTCAATAACAAAAGTTTCTCAATACTTTGTTATATACCCTTTGTTGGCAATGACACAGGTCAAACGTTTTCTGTAAGTCTTCACAAGGTTTTCACACACTGTTGCTGGTATTTTGGCCCATTCCTCCATGCAGATCTCCTCTAGAGCAGTGATGTTTTGGGGCTATCGCTGGGCAACACGGACTTTCAACTCCCTCCAAAGATTTTCTATGGGGTTGAGATCTGGAGACTGGCTAGGGCACTCCAGGACCTTGAAATGCTTCTTACGAAGCCACTCCTTCGTTGCCCGGGCGGTGTGTTTTGGATCATTGTCATGCTGAAAGACCCAGCCATGTTTCATCTTCAATGCCCTTGCTGATGGAAGGAGATTTTCACTCAAAATCTCACGATACATGGCCCCATTCATTCTTTCCTTTACACGGATCAGTCGTCCTGGTCCCTTTGCAGAAAAACAGCCCCAAAGCATGATGTTTCCACCCCCATGCTTCACAGTAGGTATGGTGTTCTTTGGATGCAACTCAGCATTCTTTGTCCTCCAAATACGACGAGTTGAGTTTTTACCAAAAAGTTCTTTTTTGGTTTCATCTGACCATATGACATTCTCCCAATCCTCTTCTGGATCATCCAAATGCACTCTAGCAAACTTCAGACGGGCCTGGACATGTACTGGCTTAAGCAGGGGGACACGTCTGGCACTGCAGGATTTGAGTCCCTGGCGGCGTAGTGTGTTACTGATGGTAGGCTTTGTTACTTTGGTCCCAGCTCTCTGCAGGTCATTCACTAGGTCCCCCCGTGTGGTTCTGGGATTTTTGCTCACCGTTCTTGTGATCATTTTGACCCCACGGGGTGAGATCTTGCGTGGAGCCCCAGATCGAGGGAGATTATCAGTGGTCTTGTATGTCTTCCATTTCCTAATAATTGCTCCCACAGTTGATTTGTTCAAACCAAGCTGCTTACCTATTGCAGATTCAGTCTTCCCAGCCTGGTGCAGGTCTACAATTTTGTTTCTGGTGTCCTTTGACAGCTCTTTGGTCTTGGCCATAGTGGAGTTTGGAGTGTGACTGTTTGAGGTTGTGGACAGGTGTCTTTTATGCTGATAACAAGTTCAAACAGGTGCCATTAATACAGGTAACGAGTGGAGGACAGAGGAGCCTCTTAAAGAAGAAGTTACAGGTCTGTGAGAGCCAGAAATCTTGCTTGTTTGTAGGTGACCAAATACTTATTTTCCACCATAATTTGCAAATAAATTCATTAAAAATCCTACAATGTGATTTTCTAGAGAAAGAAAATCTCAATTTGTCTGTCATAGTTGACGTGTACCTATGATGAAAATTACAGGCCTCTCTCATCTTTTTAAGTGGGAGAACTTGCACAATTGGTGGCTGACTAAATACTTTTTCCCCCCACTGTACGTCCACACGAAGCAAAAACGTTTAAACATTGCCATCTTTTCTTTGCATTTGTTCCAGGATAAAGCTGGTCAGAGAGAGGAGCGTTTTCTCAATCCCTTCCCTCTTCACCCGAGGCAGTCAAGGAGGAGCCATTGCAAGTCAGCTGAGGCACTGTGCTTCAAATCAATCATGTGAACCATTGTAATTTTCCAATGGTAGAAATGGATAGTAAATGTTTTAACAGTAGTTTTAACAGATAGCTAGCAGTAACATTTTATATAAATCATATCAAATTATATTTGTCACATGCGCCGAATACAACAGGTGTAGACCTTACAGTGAAATAAAAGTAACAAATATTTAAAGAGCAGCAGTAAAAATAATAATAGCGAGGCTATATACAGGGGGTACCGGTACCAAGTCAATGTGCAGGGGCACCGGTTAGTCGAGGTAATTGGGGTAATATGTAGATGTAGGTAGAGTCATTAAAGTGACTATGCATAGATAATAAACAGAGAGTAGCAGCAGCGTAAAAGAGGGGTGGGGGGCAATGCAAATAGTCTGGGTAGCCATTTGATTAGATGTTCAGGAGTCTTATGGCTCGGGGGTAGAAGCTGTTTAGAAGCCTCTTGGACCTAGACTTGGCGCTCCGGTACCGCTTGCCGTGCGGTATGGCTGGAGTCTTTGACTATTTTTAGGGCCTTCCTCTGACACCGCCTGGTATAGAGGTCCTGGATGGCAGGAAGCTTGGCCCCAGTGATGTACTAGGCCGTACGCACTACCCTCTGTAGTGCCTTGCGGTCGGAGGCCGAGCAGTTACCATACCAGGCAGTGATGCAACCAGTCAGGATGCTCTCGATGGTGCAGCTGTAGAACCTTTTGAGCATCTGAGGACTCATGCCAAATCTTTTCAGTCTCCTTAGGGGGAATAGGTTTTGTCGTGCCCTCTTCACGACTGTCTTGGTGTGCTTGGACCATGTTAGTTTGTTGGTGATGTGGACACCAAGGAACTTGAAGCTCTCAACCTGTTCCACTACAGCCCCGTCGATGAGAATGGGGGCGTGCTCGGTCCTCTTCTTTTTCCTGTAGTCCACAATCATCTCCTTTGTCTTGATCACGTTGAGGGAGAGGTTGTTGTCCTGGCACCACACTGCCAGGTCTCTGACCTCCTCCCTATAGGCTGTCTCATCGTTGTCGGTGATCAGGCCTACCACTGTTGTGTCATCGGCAAACTTAATGATGGTGTTGGAGTCGTGCATGGCCACGCAGTCATGAGTGAACAGAGAGTATAGGAGGGGACTGAGCACGCACCCCTGAGGGGCCCCCGTGTTGAGGATCAGTGTGGCAGATGTGTTGTTACCTACCCTTACCACCTGGGGGCGGCCCGTCAGGAAGTCCAGGAACCAGTTGCAGAGGGAGGTGTTTAGTCCCAGGGTCCTTAGCTGAGCTGTAGTCAATTAATAGCATTCTCACATAGGTGTTCCTTTTGTCCAGGTGTGAAAGGGGAGTGTGGAGCGCAATAGAGATGGCATCATCTGTGGATCTGTTGGGGCGATATGCAAATTGGAGTGGGTCTAGGGTTTCTGGGATAATGGTGTTGATGTGAGCCATGACCAGCCTTTCAAAGCACTTTATGGCTACAGACGTGAGTGCTACGGGTCGGTAGTCATTTAGGCAGGTTACCTTAGTGTTCTTGGGCACAGGGACTATGGTGGTCTGCTTGAAACATGCTGGTATTACAGACTATATACTTGTTTCATAATGGAAAACCAGTCTGTGTCTCAAATGGCACCCTATTCCCTCTATAGTGCACTACTTTTGACCACTACTTTTGACCAGAACCCTATGGGCCCTGGTCAAAAGTAGTGCACTATATAGGGAATAGGGTGCCATTTGAGATACAGTCAGTGTGAGTGAGGTCTTCTCTGATGCTATTCCTCCAGTGAGTTGTCTTCGTACCAGTCTTCCTGTGGAGGAGTGACCCCTGAGAGACGCCTCACCTGCTGGTCTGACACTCAGAGCTGTGCTACAGGCCTCTCTACTGAACAGAGCTCCCTCTACTCATGGAGATACGATGTATGAGAGCACACACACACACACAACACACACACACACACACACACACACTGCCCTTTCCAGTAAAGAAGGTTTCGTGAGTGTGTGCCTCCTGTGGTGTGTTCAGGAGTTTGACAGAGTGAACACCCAGCGTGTGCATCAGCTGTTCAGTGATGTGGACGAGCTGCTGTATGAAGGGAGGGTGAACAGCAGCAGCTCCCTGCTACTACAGGAGGAGTGTCAGGAGTGGAACGGACATTCCCCACACCTCAGGTACACCAACAGTATGGCTGTGTCCTAAATGCCACCCTATCCCTATACTGCACTAATTTACCCTATGGGCCCTTGTCAAGTGCAGTGCACTACATAGGGAATAGGGTACCATTTGGGGTGCAGACAAAGTCCTTAATGTAAAAGTGTTTAACTGAATTGGCTCTCCCTCTGTGTGTCTTTTTCCAATACTTTCTTATATTGTTTCTGTCTTTCCTTCACAGGATTCTGGGTTATCAGCTGGAGTCGCCCAATCAGGAGGGGTTTCAGTACGTCCACAGGAGAGTGGTGGCCAGCGGAGGGAGAGGGAGTGCAGTGCTGCACCCGTGTGTGGACAAGAGGGAGGACTCTGGAGAGTAAGGCCTGGCTCCTCGTGTATACTACACCACAACAACAACAACAACAACAACAACAACATGACACTAACATCTCACAGTACTTCAGTTGGTCTCCCATGGCAACAGAGCAGACATGATGAGAATTTTGGAGGAGAGGTATTATGGTTGTGTGTTCAGGTTTGTGTTCAGGTGTGTATTTAGGTGTGTTGTGGAGGTGAGCTCTGTGGCAGGGGGCCAGCTAAGGGACAGATGGCATAATGAGGAATCTGCCGTGGTTCTGGGAATAACATCCAGGCAGTCTGTCTCCAGGCAACACAGTTATTTGTTTACTAATCAGTTCCCAAAGAGGATTTACCTTAAACACACCTACTTAAACACACCTACTAAAACACACCTACTTAAACACACCTACTAAAACACACCTACTTAAGCTTCAAACACAGTACTTTGATTGACTACACACCCACATTGGTCACAAACATAGATATTTTGCAATTCTACAGAATTCTTCATGCCCACTTTCATCAACAGCTATTTTTGATGTTTTGCCAGAAAAAGTATCTTAAACACACCTACTAAAACACACCTACTTAAACACACCTACTAAAACACACCTACTAAAACACACATACTAAAACACATGTATTACAACCTTGTTTGTTTAGGATTCAGTGAGGGAGCCAGACTCATGGGAGAATGACTGTTTGGCTGCATAAATACACATAGTACGGTATGAATACAATGCAAGTTGTAGCACAGTATGCTTTCAAAGGTGACCCAAAACAATGATCTAGAAATGATCTAGTAAGGAGAAATGCCAAAATACCTAATCCAGGTACACGTCAAGATGAACTCTGAAAGATTTAAACAACATTGATGTTTTCTCAGACCATAGCTAACTACAATCCCTTTTATATCAAAACCCGTCCGTCTTTACCATACCGTCTGCCTTATACCTTCTGTGCTTTATATCTGAAAGGGGTAGGGGGGTAAAAAATGTGGGACATTAAAACCCGCATCGAGACCTTGTCATGGTTGTGGTATTTTCTTAAAAAATCCCTCCTACGCCTCTGAAAACTTGTCCCGGCTTTTGGCTTTTACGAGCTGTGACTCTGATGTTCTGACGCATGACACTCACTTGGGTGAACCAATCACAAAGCTTCAGACATAGACGCACACTCTGATAGAAAGTCCGAAAGTTGTAAAAACAAAACGACATCTCTCTCTCTACTCCTGTACAAAATACAGTGGCAAGAGAAAGTATGTGAACCCTTTGGAATTACCTGAATTTCTTCATAAATTGGTAATAAAATTTGATCTGATCTTTGTCTAAGTCACAACAATAGACAAACACAGTGTGCTTAAACTAATAACACACAAATAATTATACGTTTTCATGTCTTTATTGAACACACTGTGTAAACATTCACAGTGCAGGGTGGGAAAAGTATGTGAACCCTTCGATTTAATAACTGGTTGACCCTCCTTTGGCAGCAATAACCTCAACCAAACGTTTTCTGTAGTTGCGGATCAGACCTGCACAACGGTCAGGAGGAATTTTGGACCATTCCTCTTTACAAAACTGTTTCAGGTCAGCAATATTCTTGGGATGTCTGGTGTGAACCGCTCTCTTGAGGTCATGCCACAGCATCTCATTCGGGTTGAGGTCAGGACTCTGACTGGGCCGCTCCAGAAGGCGTATTTTCTTCTGTTGAAGCTATTCTGTTGTTGATTTACTTCTGTGTTTTGGGTCGTTGTCCTGTTGCATCACCCAACTTCTGTTGAGCTTCAATTGGCGGACAGATAGCTTTACATTCTCCTGCAAAATGTCTTGATAAACTTGAATTCATTTTTCCGTTGATGATAGCAAGCTGTCCAGGCCCTGAGGCAGCAAAGCAGCCCCAAACCATGATGCTCCCTCCACCATACTTTACAGTTGGGATGAGGTTTTATGTTGGTGTGCTGTGCCTTTTTTTTTTCTCCACACATAGTGTTGTGTTCCTTCCAATCAACTCAACTTTAGTTTCTTCTGTCCACAGAATATTTTGGCAGTAGAGCTGTGGAACATCCAGGTGCTTTTTTGCGAGCTTTAGACGTGCAGCAATGTTTTTTTTGGACAGCCGTGGCTTCTTCCGTGGTGTCTTTCCATGAACACCATTCTTGTTTAGTGTTTTACGTATCGTAGACTCGTCAACAGAAATTGTAGCATGTTCCAGAGATTTCTGTAAGTCTTTAGCTGACACTCTAGGATTCTTCTTAACCTCATTGAGCATTCTGTGCTGTGCTCTTGCAGTCATCTTTGCAGGACGGCCACTCCTAGGGAGAGTAGCAACAGTGCTGAACTTTCTCAATTTCGGACTATTTGTCTTACCGTGGACTGATGAACATCAAGGCTTTTAGAAATACTTTTGTAACCCTTTCCAGCTTTATGCAAGTCAGAAATTCTTAATCTTAGGTCTTCTGAGATCTCTTTTGTTCGAGGCATGGTTCACATCAGGCAATGCTTCTTGTGAACAGCAAACTCAAATTTTGTGAGCATTTTTTATAGGGCAGGGCAGCTCTAACCAAGATCTCCAATCTCGTCTCATTGATTAGACTCCAGGTTAGCTGACTCCTGACTCCAATTAGCTTTTGGAGAAGTCATTAGCCTAGGGGTTCACATACTTTTTCCAACCTACACTGTGAATGTTTAAATTATGTATTCAATATAAACAAGAGAAATACAATAATTAGTGTGTGATTAGTTTAAGCAGACTGTGTTTGTCTATTGTTGTGAAGTAGATGAAGATCAGATGACATTTTATTACCAATTTATGCAGAATTCCAGGTAATTCCAAAGGGTTCACATACTTTTTCTTGCCACTGTATGTGCAAGCCAGAGATCGTCAAAAATAAGCATGTCCATCACCAATGACTATATCAGCTGTTTTAGCTTGTTGTAGCCTGCCTGCTGCTAGCTAGCTTCACTGACAAACACAAGAGTGGATTAGCTAGCTCAGTAAGGATGATGGCCACTGCACTGATAAACAGCATGTAGCTTGTCGGTTTACGATAGTTTGACAGCTTGCTGATGAAGTAAGTTGTAGACATGTTCTCAGCAGTCAGTCCGTAGTTCAGCATGTTTTTTTGTTTTTATTTATTTATTAAACGTTTTATTTATTGCAGAAACACCAGTATACATACCAGAATATACAAATAGACAATGATAACATACAGTGCATTCGGAAAGTATTCAGACCCCTTGACTTTTTCCCCCAAAAAATTACGTTACAGCCTTATTCTAAAATTGATTAAATGTTGTTTTTTGTATCAATCTACACACAATACCCCATAATGAAAAAGCAATAATAGGTTTCTAGAAATGTTTGCAAATGTATTACAAATAAAAAACTTAAAAATAACATTTACATATGTCACGGATTCTGCTGAGGCTGCCCCTCCTCCTTGCTCGGGCAGGCTTCGGCGTTCGTCGTCACCGGAGTACTAGCTGCTGCCGATCTTTGTTCTATGTTTCTATGTTCTACCTGTTGTTGTCTGATTGTCTCACACCTGTTTCCCATCGTGTAATTACTCATTCCCTATTTAACCCGGTGGCTCCCATTGTGTTTTGTGCGTGTTTGTTATTTCGTTTCGTGTGTCGTTTGGTGAGCGGGTTTGCTCCTCCCTGTGTGGAGGTATTTTGTATTTGTTTCTTTACTTGTCAGTAAAGTACGTTTTCATTGAGTTCTGTGTCCTGCGCCTGACTTCAACCCACCGCATTACACTGACACTCGTGACAGAAACACGCACCAGTATGGATTCAGCAGGTACAGCCAGTCAGTCCGGATCGATGGAGGAACGCGTCCAACGACAGGAGAGCATGATCCAGGCTCTCGTTACCGCTATGGAGAGAGTGGTAAATACTATGGAACGATGGGAGAGAGGTGGCTTTCCTACACCTCCTCCAACCACTCAACCACCCACACCACTGTCCACCCCTTCGCCACCTGGGTCCAGTGGGATTCGGCTCTCGCTCCCGAGGGCATATGACGGTACACCAGCCGGGTGTCAGGGTTTTCTTCTCCAGGTAGAGCTCTACCTGGCAACCATTCACCCGGCGCCCTCGGGATACGAGAGTGTGTCCGCCCTAATCTCCTGTCTGTCAGGGAAGGCGCTTGAGTGGGCCAACGCCGAGTGGGGAGGTATAGACGCTACATCAGTCCGCTACGAGGATTTCACCTGCCGCTTCCGGCGGTATTCGATCATCCACCGGAGGGGAGAGCGGCGGGCGAATGTCTGTTCCACCTAAGACAGGAGAGGAGGAGCGCGCAGGATTTTGCGCTGGAGTTCAGGACTCTGGCAGCCAGCGCAGGATGGAATGAGAGGGCCCTGATCGACCACTATCGATGCAGCCTAAGGGAGGACGTTCGTCGGGAACTGGCCTGCAGGGATACCAACTTCAACCTGGACCAACTGGTGGATATGTCCATCAGGCTGGATAACCTGTTGGAAATCCGTGGACGTTCTGATCGGGGCCCGTCCATTCCATCCCCCAGCACCTCCGACCCTACCGCCATGGAGCTCCGAGGTGCTGCGCTTAGTGAGACCAGGAGAGGGGCCGTCTCCTGTACCAACTGTGGCCGCAGAGGACACACTGCTGGTCGGTGCTGGGGAGGGTCCCCAGGGAGTCGAGGCAGTAGGCAGAGCACTGGTCGACCGTCTCAGGTGAGTAAGCACCCGACTCACCCAGAGCTCCCTGTTGCTCATATGTGTATTGTTTTCCCAGAGTTTTCTCCTCATTCCCAGCATAAGGCGCTAGTAGATTCAGGCGCAGCTGGGAATTTTATTGATCGTCAGTATTCACTTAGTTTAGGGATTCTCACTGTACGTGTTGATGTGCCCTTCCCTGTACATGCATTAGATAGTCGCCCGTTAGGGTCAGGTCTAATCAGGGAGGACACCGCTCCACTCTTAATGAGGACGCAGGGGGGTCATGAGGAGAGGATTAGTCTCTATCTGATTGATTCTCCTGCGTATCCTGTGGTGTTGGGACTTCCCTGGTTAACCACTCATGACCCCACTATTTCATGGCAACAGAGGGCTCTCAAGGGATGGTCCAGTCAGTGCTCAGGGAGGTGTGTAGGGGTTTCCTTAGGGGCTACTACGGTGGAGAGTCCAAACCAGGTCTCCACCATGCACATTCCCTCCGAGTATGCCGATTTGGCTCTCGCCTTCAGTAAAAAGAGGGCGACTAAATTACCACCCCATCGTCCGGGGGATTGTGCGATAAATCTCCAGGTGGGCGCTGCACTTCCCCGGAGTCACTTGTATCCTCTGTCACAGGAGGAGAAGGCGGCTATGGAAACATATGTCTCCAAATCTCTGAGACAGGGATACATTCGGCCTTCCACTTCACCTGTTTCCTCAAGTTTCTTTTTCGTGAAGAAGAAGGATGGTGGGTTACGCCCGTGCATTGATTACCATGGTCTTAATCAGATCACCGTCAAGTACAGCTATCCACTACCTCTGATAGCTTGCATGACGGAGTCATTGCACGGGGCACGCTTCTTCATGAAATTGGATCTCAGGAGCGCGTACAACCTGGTGCGTATCCGGGAGGGAGATGAGTGGAAGACGGCATTCAGTACCACCTCAGGACACTATGAGTACCTCGTCATGCCATACGGTTTGATGAATGCTCCATCAGTCTTCCAATCCTTTGTCGATGAGATTTTCAGGGATCTGCACGGACAAGGTGTAGTGGTGTATATTGATGACATTCTCATATACTCCGCTACACGGGCCGAGCATGTGTCCCTGGTGCGTAAAGTGCTTGGACGACTGTTGAAGCATGACCTGTATGCCAAGGCGGAGAAATGCCTGTTCTTTCAGGAGTCCATCTCCTTCCTAGGGTACCACATGTCCGAGTCTGGGGTGAGGATGGAGAGTGACCGCATTTCGGCCGTGCGTAATTGGTCGACTCCAACCACGGTGAAGGAGGTGCAGCGATTTTTGGGGTTTGCCAACTACTCGGGCACACCACCCAAACTCCGCCCCTGTGCGTTCTTTTCGAAGAAGCTCAGCCCGGCGGAGCGCAACTATGATGTGGGGGACCGGGAGCTGTTGGCTGTGGTCCAAGCCCTGAAAGCGTGGAGACATTGGCTTGAGGGGGCTTAACACCCTTTTCTCATTTTGACTGACCACCGCAATCTGGAGTACATCCGGGTGGCGAGGAGATTAAACCCTCGCCAAGGTGGTCCATGTTTCTCACCCGTTTTGTTTTCACCCTTTCTTACAGGCCAGGTTCCCAGAACGCTAAGGCATCGCTCTGTCCCGACTGTATGACATATCTCCTGAGTGGCGCAGTGGTCTAAGGCACTGCATCGCAGTGCTAACTGTGCCACTAGAACCTGGTTCGTATCCAGGCTCTGTCGCAGCCGGCCGTGACCGGGAGACTCATGGGCGGCGCACAATTGGCCCAGCGTCGTCCAGGGTAGGGGAGGGAATGGCCGGCAGGGATGTAGCTCAGTTGATAGAGCATGGCGTTTGCAACGCCAGGGTTGTGGGTTCGATTCCCACGGGGGGCCAGTATAAAAAAAAAAATGTATTCACTAACTGTAAGTCGCTCTGGATAAGAGCGTCTGCTAAATGACTGAAATGTAAATGAAATGTAATGACATGGAGAAGAGTTCCGTGGAGCCCACTCCCATTGTCTTAGTGGGAAGTACTGGTGGCCCACCTTAGCTAAGGACGTGAGGGTTTATGTTTCCTCCTGCTCGGTGTGCGCCCAGTGTAAGGCTCCTAGACACCTGCCCAGAGGGAAATTGCAACCCTTACCCGTTCCACAACAACCGTGGTTCCACCTATCGGTGGATTTTGTGACGGATCTTCCCCCCTCACAAGGGAACACCACGATCCTGGTCGTTGTGGATCGGTTTTCTAAGTCCTGCCTCATTCCTCTGCCCGGTCTCCCTACGGCCCTACAGACTGCTGAGGCCCTATTTACACACGTCTTCCGGCACTATGGGGTACCTGAGGATATAGTGTCTGATCGGGGTTCCCAGTTCACCTCAAGGGTCTGGAGGGCGTTCATGGAACGTCTGGGTGTCTCGGTCAGCCTGACCTCAGGGTTTCTCCCCGAGAGTAACGGGCAGGTGGAGAGAGTCAACCAGGAGGTGGGTAGGTTTCTGAGGTCGTATTGCCAGGACCGGCGGGGGGAGTGGTCAGTTTTCCTCCCCTGGGCAGAGATGGCCCAAAACTCACTCCGCCACTCCTCCACTAACCTTACTCCATTCCAGTGTGTATTAGGTTATCAGCCGGTCCTGGCACCATGGCATCAGAGCCAGATCGAGGCACCTGCGGTGGATGAATGGTTTTGGCGCTCGCAGGAGACCTGGAACGCTGCCCATGTGCGCCTGCAGCGGGCCATTGGGCGGCAAAAGGCGAGCGCCGACCGCCACCGCAGTGAGGCTCCGGTGTATGCACCGGGGGACCGGGTCTGGCTCTCGACCCGAAACCTGCCCCTTCGCCTGCCCTGCCAGAAGCTGGGTCGGTGGTTTGTGGGGCCATTCAATGTCCTGAGGAGATTGAACAAGGTATGTTATAGGTTACAGCTTCCTCCTGAGTATCGTATTAACCCCTCGTTCCATGTGTCTCTCCTCAGGCTGGTGGTAGCTGGTCCACTCCAGGAGTCTGAGATACAGGAGGTTCCTCCGCCCCCACTGGACATCGAGGGGGCACCGGCGTACTCGGTCCGTTCCATCCTGGATTCGAGGCGTCGGGTGGGGGGCCTGCAGTATCTCGTGGAGTGGGAGGGGTACGGTCCGGAGGAACGGTGCTGGGTCCCTAGGAGGGACATCCTCGATCCCTCCATGTTGAGGGATTTCCACCGCAGTCATCCGACTCGCCCCACGCCGCGTCCTCCTGGCCGTCCCCAAGGCCGTCCCCGTCGTCACCGGAATACTAGCTGCTGCCGATCTATGTTCTATGTTTCTATGTTCTACCTGTTGTTGTCTGATTGTCTCACACCTGTTTCCCATCGTGTAATTACTCCTTCCCTATTTAACCCGGTGGCTCCCATTGTGTTTTGTGCGTGTTTGTTATTTCGTTTCGTGTGTCGTTTGGTGAGCGGGTTTGCTCCTCCCTGTGTGGAGGTATTTTGTATTTGTTTCTTTACTTGTCAATAAAGTACGTTTTCATTGAGTTCTGTGTCCTGCGCCTGACTTCGACCCACCACATTACACTGACACTCGTGACAACATAAGTCTTCAGACCCTTTACTCAGTAATTTGTTGAAGCACCTTTGGCAGCGATTACAGCCTTGAGTCTTCTTGAGTATGACACAATCTTGGCACACCTGTATTTGGGGAGTTTCTCCCATTCTTCTCTACAGATCCTTTCAAGCTGTGTCAGGTTGGATTGGGAACGTCGCTGACAGCTATTTTCAGGTCTCTGCAGAGATGTTTGATCGGGTTCAAGTTCAGGCTCTGGCTGGGCCACTCATGGACATTCAGAGTCTTGTCCCAAAGCCACTCCTGCGTTGTCTTGGCTGTGTGCTTATGGTCGTTGTCCTGTTGGAAAGTGAACCTTCACCCCCAGTCTGAGGTCCTCAGCGCTCTGGAGCAGGTTTTCATCAAGGATCTCTCTGTACTTTGCTCCATTCATCTTTCTCTCGATCCTGACTAGTCTCCCAGTCTCTGCAGCTGAAAAACATCCCCACAGCATGATGCTGCCACCACCATGCTTCACCGTAGGGATGGAGCCAGGTTTCCTCCAGACCAAAAAGTTTAATCTTGGTTTCATCAGACCAGAGAATCTTGTTTCTCATGGTCAGAGTCCTTTAGGTGCCTTTTGGCAAACTCCAAGTGGGCTGTCATGTGCCTTTTACTGAGGAGTGGCTTCCGTCTGGCCACTCTACCACAAAGGCCTAATTGGTGGAGTGCTGCAGAGATGATTGTCCTTCTGGAAGGTTCTCCCATCTCCACAGAGGAACTTTAGAGCTCTGTCAGTGACCATCGGGTTCTTGGTCACCTCCCTGACCAAGGCCCTTCTCCCCCGATTGCTCAGTTTGGCCGGGCGGCCAGCTCTGGGAAGAATCTAGGTGGTTCCAAACGTCTTCCATTTAAGAATGATGGAGGCCACTGTGTTCTTGGGGACCTTCAATGCTGCAGAAACGTTTTGTTAACCTTCCCCAGATCTGTGCCTCGACACAATCCTGTCTCGGAGCTCTACGGACAATTCCTTCGACCTCATGGCTTGGTTTTTGCTCTGACATGCACTGTCAACTGTGGGACCTTATATAGACAGGTGTGTGCCTTTCCAAATCATGTTCAATCAATTGAATTTACCACAGGTGGACTCCAATCAAGTTGTAGGAACATCTTAAGGATGATCAATGGAAACAGGATGCACCGGAGCTCAATTTCTTAAAGTATTGATGGACTGTCGTTTCTCTTTGCTTATTTGAGCTGTTCTTGCCATAATATGGACTAGGTCTTTTACCAAATAGAGCTATCTTCTGTATACCACCCCTACCTTGTCACAACACAACTGATTGGCTCAAACGCATTAAGAAGGAAATAAATTCCACAAATTAACTTTTAACAAGGCACACCTGTTAATTGAAATGCATTCCAGGTGACTACCTCATGAAGCTGGTTGAGAGAATGCCAAGAGTGTGCAAAGCTGTCATCAAGGCAAAGGGTGGCTACTATTTTGATTTGTTTAACACTTTTTTGGTTACTACTTGATTCCGTATGTGTTATTTCATAGTTTTGATATACCATCAGTCCCTGGAGACTTATTATTTTTAAGGTGTTCAATAGAATAAATGATCTCTTCAACTATAATAGGGTCATCACACTGTTCCCTTTCAGCCTCCCCAATTTCACATCCCCCAGAGAATAAAAAAAAAGAGTTGAGGACATCTCACAATACTAATAATAGTATTTTTCTAACCTGAAAAAATAAGATTAATTTTGTTCCCCCTCCTCTAGCCATTTCTTCCTAGATCTGAGTTCAGCATGTTTCCAAAGCACCGATCGCTACAATGTAACGTTGGGTCAGCTGAGCTCAGAGTAGTGTTGACTCCACTGACTAGCTGCAGAATAGGCAGCTGCTGCTTCATTTGATTAAATAATGTTACTACAGGAGCTAGCTAGCTTATGGAAGGAGCATTTAATTTAGTAACATAGTGGAACTAAGACCTCCTCTGCAAAACAACTTCAAAATCAATTACAGATTTCTTGATTTAGCTTAGATTAATTCTGGTGTTTTGGGGCAGAAATTCAATGCTCCCACCACTCACTGGCTACACACTGGGATATATAAAGGGGTATACCTGCAATAAAGTGACTGATTGAAAGGGGGTCATATAAACAGTGAAATGTTTTTTTTTTTTTTTTTTACAGGCAACATACCATGAATTCTGTCTAAAATAGGTATAATCATAATAATCTGCCTCCCTGACTACAGGTTATATGTTGAAGGTCATGGTCTTTCCCCAACTCCCTGCACATTGCAGGGGGCAACCCCTCCCTCCCACTCTCTCTGTGATCACTCCTCCCTTATACAAGAAGAGGTCTACGAGGCAGAGGGAAGGATGGAGGAATTTCTTGCCTATGATGCCAAAGACACGTAAGGCATTTTAACTTTACTTTATCAGTAAGCATGGCATTTCATATTTCAAGAGTATTTGGAAGTAAGTAATAGCCTGTGGGAGTTGTGGGACAGAGAGAGTGAGAGTGTGTGTGTGTGCGCGTGCGCATCCGTAGGTGTGTGTGTGTTGTGTGCGTGCCTGTGTGCATGTGTGTGTGTGTGTGCGGTTGTGTGTGTGAGTGTCTGTATGCGGTTGTGTGTGTGCAAGTCTGTGCATGTGTAGATGTGGGTGGAATGGGGGCCGTATTGCTCCAGTGTGTCTGACGTCAGTGTTCTCCCCCCAGGGAGGATGAGTGGGTGGGTCAGAGAGGAGCCTGGGGGTCTGCTGGGGCGGGGGCGGCAGGGAGGTCCGGGGTTCCCCCTGTGTCTCCCCACGCCTGTATCAGGGATGCCGTGGCTGACGAGGCCTTTGATGACGTGTGGAGGGAGGTGGTGAACTCTCTGGGGGAGCTCCTCCACAAACACTGGCAGAGACAAATCACTGGTCTGTCTATCTACAAACCACTGTATTACAGAGATACCATAGAACTACATGAATATCAATGATGATAGGCCTATTATACACAGCAACCATGGTAGAGCACACCAACTCTGTTGTAGCTGATGCTTTTTGTTATGCTGTGTTTTGAATTGGGCAAGGAGTTTGACCTGATCACATGGCCTGGCCAGGATAAACTCTGGGTCCTAGTTATGAATCAAGTGTTTTGTTTGTACCGGAGGTGGAGCAGGTCACAGAGGAGCGTTGGAGGCTCTTGGTGGAGTCCTGGGTGATCCCTCTCCTCACATCAACAGTACATGTCAGCGTGTCCCCCTCTCCAGGGGCTCCAACACACATAGCATGCTGCTGTGGTCCAACTGTTGCCCCAGCACACAGGTGAGAAGTCTGCCTGCCACCAAAACACAAAGTGTCAGCTGCTGCCATTGGCTCTCTAGAGGAGCTCTTGCGCTTCTGGCAACAACAGCATTCACATGAATTAACATTTATCTCAAACACACATATTACAATGGCCTCAACAGAGGAGCCAAGGCCTCCTTAAAACAAGCCTTGAGCTACATTTATTTACTTTTATTTTTTTCTAGGCCTCTCAGGTATTATCAAGCGCCTTCAAGATTAATTTAAACGGTGTTATGACAATCCAAGCTAAGCCTCTTCAACAAAGACAACACAGATTTGCAGAGAAGTCTCAGTAAGTCTGTCTGAATCCCCAGCTATAAGTGTGATCCTGAACAAACAAACCATTCCTGTTTCTCTTTGGTGTGCATCCCAAATGGCACTCAATTCTCTATACACTGAATATACAAAACATTAAGAACTCCTTCCATGCTCCTTCCATGACATAGACTGACCAGGTGAATCCAGGTTGAAGGTACTTGTCACGATCGTCTAAAGAAGCGGACCAAGGCGCAGCGTGTTGAGCGAACATGTTGACTTTATTGAATTTAAAGCAACACCGAAACAACAAACAAAATGACGATAGTGAAGTCCACAGTGACAAAGACTGAACTTGGAACAAAAACCCACAACACCCAAGAGAAAACACACAGTATAAATATGGCTCCCAATCAGAGATAACGAGCCGACAGCTGACACTCGTTACCTCCGATTGGGAGTCAATGACCAAACCTAGAAATAAACGTGACAGAAATGCAACCATAGAAAATCACCCAAAACCCAACAAAACACAATACACCCTGGCTCAAATACAAAAGTCCTGGAGCCAGAGTGTCACAGTACCCCCCCCTAAAGGTGCGAACTCCGGGCGCACCAGCATACAGTCTAGGGGAGGGTCTGGGTGGGCGTCTGTCCACGGTGGCGGTTCTGGCCCTGGTCGTGGTCCCCACCCCACCTTAGTCACTACCCGCCTCCGTAGCCTCCTCCACATGACCACCCCCCAACTAAACCCCACTGGATTAAGGGGCGGCACCGGACTAACGGGCAGCACCGGACTAAGGGGCAGCACCGGACTAAGGGGCAGCACCGGACTAAGGGGCAGCACCAGGATAAGGGACAGCACCGGACTCACTGGCGGATCCTGGCTGGCTGGCTCTGGCGGGTCCTGGCTGGACGGCTCTGGCGGATCCTGGCTGGACGGCTCATGGCTGGCTGAAGGATCTGGCTGCTCATGGCTGGCTGACGGATCTGGCTGCTCATGGCTGGCCGACGGATCTGGCTGCTCATGGCTGGCCGACGGATCTGGCTGCTCATGGCTGGCCGACGGATCTGGCTGCTCATGGCTGGCCGACGGATCTGGCTGCTCATGGCTGGCTGACGGATCTGGCTGCTCATGGCTGGCTGACGGATCTGGCTGCTCATGGCTGGCTGACGGATCTGGCTGCTCATGGCTGGCTGACGGATCTGGCTGCTCATGGCTGGCTGACGGATCTGGCTGCTCATGGCTGGCGGAAGGCTCTGGCTGATCCTGTCTGGCGGAAGGCTCTGGCTGATCCTGTCTGGCGGAAGGCTCTGGCTGATCCTGTCTGGCGGAAGGCTCTAGCGGCTCCGGTCTGGCGGACGGCTCTGAAGGCTCATGGCAGACGGGCGGCTTAGCAGGCTCAGTACAGATGGCCAGTTCAAGCGCCTTAGGGCAGACGGGCAGTTCAGACCCCGTTGGGCAGACGGCAGACTCTGGCCGTCTGAGGCGCACCGTAGGCCTGGTGCGTGGTGCCGGAACTGGAGGTACCGGGCTGAGGACACGCATCTCAGGGCTAGTGCGGGGAGAAGCAACAGGGCATGCTGGACCCTGGGAACGCACATAACGCCTAGTGCGGAGAGCCGGAACAGGGCATGCTGGACCCTGGGAACACACAGGAGGCTTGGTGCGTGGTGTAGGCACTGGTGGTACTGGGCTGGAGCGGGGAGGTGGCGCCGGAAATACCGGACCGTGCAGGCTTACTGGCCCCCTTGAGCACTGAGCCTGCCCAACCTTACCCGGGTTGATGCTCCCCGTCGCCCGACCAGTACGGGGAGGTGGAATAACCCGCACCGGCCTATGTGGGCGAACCGGGAACACCATGCGTAAGGCTGGTGCCATGTACGCCGGCCCGAGAAGACGCACTGGTGGCCTGATGCGTTGGGCCGGCTTCATGACATCCGGCTCAACGCTCAATCTAGCCCGGCCGATACGAGGAGCTGGGATGGTGACGCACACCACAGGCGTAGTGCGTAGAGCAGGAACCGGCCGGGCTGGGCTGGCGACGCACATCGTGGACCTGGTGCGTGGAGTAGGAACAGGCCGAGCTGGGCTGGCGACGCACATCGTGGACCTGGTGCGTGGAGTAGGAACAGGCCGGTCCGTACCGGGAACACACACCACTGGCCTTAACTGGGGATCAGGAACGGGCCGGACCGGACTGGTAACACACCTCAGTCTCTCACGCCGTGCCACAACAACTTCCCTCCCTCTACTCGCCAATGGCTCCCGTAATCCGAAAGCCTTCTCTCCACCTCTACCTGTGGCAGCCTCCTGCTGCCCAGCCGCCCAAGCCATGTGCCCCCCCCAAAAAATTATTTGGGGTTGCCTCTCATCCTTCCGACGATGGCCCTGCCGACGCCGTTGCTCCTCTCTCCGTCGCCTCTCCACTGTCTCGCTCCATGGACGGCGATCCATCCCATCCAGGATTTCCTCCCAAGTCCATGACCCTTTTCCGTCCAGTATCTCCTCCCATGTCCATGAATCCTTTATAGCTGGGTCCTGTTGCCGCTTGACACGCTGCTTGGTCCTCTTAAGGTGGGTTTTTCTGTCACGATCGTCTAAAGAAGCGGACCAAGGCGCAGCGTGTTGAGCGAACATGTTGACTATATTGAATTTAAAGCAACACCGAAACAACAAACAAAATGACGATAGTGAAGTCCACAGTGACAAAGACTGAACTTGGAACAAAAACCCACAACACCCAAGAGAAAACACACAGTATAAATATGGCTCCCAATCAGAGATAACGAGCCGACAGCTGACACTCGTTACCTCCGATTGGGAGTCAATGACCAAACCTAGAAATAAACGTGACAGAAATGCAACCATAGAAAATCACCCAAAACCCAACAAAACACAATACACCCTGGCTCAAATACAAAAGTCCTGGAGCCAGAGTGTCACACTACTGTATGATCCCTTATTGATGTCACTTGTTATAATAATAATAATAATAATATGCCATTTAGCAGACGCTTTTATCCAAAGCGACTTACAGTCATGCGTGCATACATTTTTGTGTATGGGTGGTCCCGGGGATCGAACCCACTACCTTGGCGTTACAAGCGCCGTGCTCTACCAGCTGAGCTACAGAGGACCACATTGTTAAATCCACTTCAATCAGTGTAGATGAAGGGGAGGAGACAGGTTAAAGAATGATTTTTAATCCTTGACAAAATTGAGACATGGATTGTGTATGGATGCCATTCAGAGGGTGAATGGGAAAGACAAACGATTTAAGTTCCTTTGAACGAGTTATGGTAGTAGGTGCCAGGCAACGCTGCTGGGTTTTTCACACTCAACAGTTTCCCGTGTGTATCAAGAATGGTCCACCACCCAAAGGACAACCAGCCAACTTGGCACAACGGTGGGAAGCATTGGAGTCAACATGAGCTAGAGGGGGACAGGGAACAGGGTGCTATTTGGGATGCACCTTTTCTGTTAGGCTTTGATACAAATAAGAACTCCAACACCTAAAATAGATTAGATAGAAAATAAATTGATACACTGGTATGACTTTAAGTAATGTCATTAATATCACTACTTTGTTGACTTCTCTGTAGTTATGATCTGGAGGACAGACCCAGAAGAGCTCCAGCCCCCACTGTGTCTCCATCCAGGAGAGCATGTAGTACTTCCTCTCACAGAGCCCCAGCTCCAGCCCCAGGCCCAGGCCCAGCTCCAGCCCACAGAGGCCTACCCCTGCCCAGGCTCCGTATCTGCTCCAGACCCAGCTCCACCTTCACAAGTACCAGCTCCAGGGGCAGGGCCAAGAGCTGCCTCATCCCCAGACATACTGTCCCCAGACACCAGGTCATCAGAGGAACCAGACTGTGAGATATCTACTGTGTATTACATGTATATAAAAACAAGTTAGCTAGGCTGGTGTTTAATTGCAACACTATTATAATTGGTATATGCAACTGCAATAAATGATTATGACTTGTTTATGGTAGAATTAAATTTGTTAGGTCAAATGAAATTGCAGTTTTGTTCTAGAGAAGAGTTAGCCATAATGACTATTACATTTGACGTCATTTAGCAGATGCTCTTATCCAGAGCAACTAGGGTTAAGTGACATGCTCAAAGATTTTTCACCTAGTCGACTCTGGGATTCGAAACAGTAACCTTTTGGTTACTGGCCCCATTGCTCCTAAGCGCTAGGCTACCTGCCGCCCAACTATCATAACAAGGTTGTAATTGTCCTGGCTTGTACTGTAGGACCACAGTGACAGAAGGACAGCCGTCCCCTATCCTCAGTTCACTACAGAACCAGAGGCTCCTCCCCCTTCTCCATGCTGACCAATCAGAGCTGGAGCCCTCAGTGTCCACTGCTGCACCCATGCAGGTACCAGGTGACCTACTGTTTCGTCAATGTACTCAAATGTCAATACAGGAAGGTAGTATATCAATGTGTCAATTCTAATGCAGATTATAGTACATTATATTTGCCTCAATACCATAATAAATGGGTAATGATGACATGTCATTTAAATGACTTGTCATTCTGACCGAACATAAATTACCACATCGATTCAGCTTCTTATAATAATAATAATAGCTTCTTGCATTTGCATAGACATGGAAAGCAAGTGTGTGTTGGCTTGGCTGACCTTGCAAACATGCTTAACTCCAGGGCAAACAGCAGGTGTGTGCTGGTGTAGGGCAAGTGAACTTTGGTCTCGCTCTCTCTCTCTGCCTTACAGCTCAGGGGGAGGATTCTGCAAGGACATGCCACTGTACCCATCTCCATCCTTCCACCCCTCAGAGAGCCCACTCCGCTGTTGGAGTCCCTGTCTCGTCCCAACACCACACACACACTCCGGGTACGAGACACACACACACAGTCTAGGACACACAGTGGGGGCATGGTGGGGTTGTCTGAGGGAGTGGTAGTAGAAGAGAGTGTATTACTGTCTGTTGCATAGCAGATGGCCTTATCATTATATAGAACTGTCTGCTTTGCTGCATGGTTTATTGCTCTACCTTTTGGTCAACTCATTATTGTAAAAGAGAATATGTTCTTAAAACCCCCTAGATTCGATGTCTGTGCCCCTGTGGAAATCTAATTAGCATAATTGAAAAATCCCCATAAAAATCTGTCAATTTAAGCTAGAGATATCTGTTTTTTTTGCATTGGATGCGTCTCCACCACATCCGCCGATGTCGCACTTCCGCGTCTGGGGTGAAAGGTGACAGAGCTAGAGTGGTGTTTGTCAGACCAAGAGACATGTACATGTGGGTTGTTTTGCTCTAGGATGCCCACAGGCCTCACAAGACTCGTCTGAAGGTCCCCCTGTACCAGTTAAAAAAATTAATGGAAGTATATATGGAGACAGTTTAGTGCCAAAAATAAGGGGTTAAATACATGTAAAATAAAAAATGTTTCTTGATCTTTTTTATATTTCTCAGATATAAGACAGACACTTCAGAACAAGCTTCCTTTCGATTTTTTGGGGGGACTATCTGTTGTTCCATGTAGTGAATCTGTTATGCAATGTGTTTGTATGTGCTAATAGCAGTAAGGCTTAGACAGGGCTTAGTCTGTAGAGGGTCCACTTACCTGGTTAAATAAAGGCTAAATAAATAAAAGCTGTCTACCTTTTGTACAATGAGAGGGTAATCATTGTAACATTATATATTATTATCCTTGTTTTAGATTGGATTACTGTAGTGTAGGTTACATATTACCACTATTTACCTAGGTGTGTTTGCTCAAATAAAGTATCCATTTTGTTTTAACATATGACTTGAAAGCAGCTCTTTGTTTTCTAGTCAGACACACCCATGAAGCGATCATTCACTCCCATGGATTTCACCTGCCACATGAAGACTGGGAAAGGACCTCACTCAGGTGACCGCTATAGTACTGTGTACTCATGCGTCTAGCCAACAAGTGACAGGACAGCTGTCAGTGCAGGTGGATTTATAAGTATTATGTACATTGTAAATGTTGTTTTAGAATGGATCAAGTTTATTTTGTATGTTTTGACTAACCAGGCCAGTTTCCTTTAATTCAGTGCCTGTTCGTAGGCTCAGGTGTTGTGTGAATGCATTAGTTATTATTGCACATCGGCCTCACAGGCTCTCAGCCTCACAGGCTCTGAGGAAAGTGGAGGTTAAAAGCGGAGGCAGAATGTGTCATTGTCCCCATTGGCCCTGGTTAAAAGCGGAGGCAGAATGTGTCATTGTCCCCATTGGCCCTGGTTAAAAGTAGTGCATTAAATAGAGAATGAGGTGCCATTTGGAAGCCTATGTCAGCGTCAGACGGGCATGTCGTAATGCGTCACCTCTGGTCTCCTAGGTGACTGTGCTCTGATTGGAGTGACAGGCTTTGGCGTGGGCATCACCTGCTCCACCTCCAGCGGCTTCTCCGAGAGCACCATGACAACGAGGAGACGCCAGCGCCCGCCATCCTCCTCTGTGGAGGGAGAGAGTGGGACCAGATCCCTGCTCTTAGGTAAATACTGTATATGGAGTTATTAGGAGGAAAGTGGAGAGGGTACTGCATAGGCCTGGCAATTGCCAGGGACCTCACGATACCATATTATCACCATACTGAGGGAACTCACGATACCATATTATCACCAAACTTAGGGACTTCACTATACCATATTATCACCATACTAAGGGACCACAATAAGATATTATCACAATACTAAGGGACCTCACAATACGATATTATCACTATACTGAGGGACCTCACGATACGGACCTCACGAAACCATATTATCACCATACTTAGGGACCCTCACGATACCATATTATCACCATACTGAGGGACCTTACAATATGATATTATCACCATACTGAGGGACCTCACGATACCATATTATCACTGTACTTAGGGACCTCACGATACGATATTATCACCATACTTAGGACACTCACGATACCATATTATCACCATACTTAGGGACCTCACGATACGGACCTCACGATACCATATTATCACCATACTTAGGGACCCTCACGATACCATATTATCACCATACTGAGGGACCTTACAATACGATATTATCACCATACTTAGGACACTCACGATACCATATTATCACCATGCTTAGGGACCTCCGTTACCATATTATCACCATACTTAGGTGCCGATACGATATGTATTGTGATTCTCACTATTCTATATGCATTGCGATTCTCACGATTCTATATGTATTGCGATTCGATGCTGCGTTTGTACTTCGATTTGATGTTCCAAACATATCGCACACCAGAGGGGCAAGAGAGGGCCATGAGAAAATGAGTTTTGATCAGTCAGGGAAATATGAAAGTGGAGATGGAGAACAAGCTATAGGATGAAAAACACCAGAGTTTTGGCGCAGGTACAGTCAACTAGCGCTAGCTAACGCTACCTAGCAAAAAAAAGAAGTTAATATATCCATATAATATCGTCCAAAACTATATTGTGATATGTAACTGTATTTATTTTTTCCTCCATCACTAGTACTATAGTGCAATGTGCAAGTAAACAGGGGGCTGCTCATAGATTGATGTGTACAGGAAGATTGCTAGTAGGTAGATAAGTAGAGGGAGATGAGAAAAGTGGATTGAATGAATAAGGAAATTAAGCAGTACAATACAGTACACTATGTGTCCTTTCTACTGTAGTTTAACTGAAGTATAAAACTTCTCCAGGTGTTCCTCATCAACGTAAAGTGTTTGGTCGGTTTCCTGGGCATGTGAAGAAGAGACTCCAGGTGGTGTTGTCATAGCAGCATAGTCCGGACAGGAAGACAGGAAGAACAGAATGCATCAGGAACACCAACACTTTAATTAATGGGTGTGACCAGATGGAGTACAGCTACGGATGAGATTTACCATTGAACTACCGCAAGAGTTTGGAAGCCAGTCGGAGTTGGATATCACTTTTCATTGCTATGGCGATAGCTAGCTAGCCTCCCAGACAGTGGCTATCTAGAGGTAGAACAGCAATGTGCAGATAGCGTGTGGACAATAAGGACAGAGTTTTCATTTGAAAAGACCACATTTAGGCTGCAACGGCATTTTGCAGGACAAATCTACTTGGTTATATTGTATCTGCCGTTTAATTAGATACATTGTAGTTTATTTTAAAATGTGCTTAATGAGCCATGTTAGGAGGAAAAACATGAACTAGGTCCTACTTGTATGTTTTGTATAGAAATGTCACAGTGTCTTGAATACCCTAGGTTTTTCAAGGAATGATCATTCATTCAAATATTATTTTGAAGTTGTAAAGATATAATTTTGTGTTATGCAATAAATGGCTATTTCTGTTACATTGCCACATTTGTATTTCTGGAGTGGAAAGAGCTTATCCAATCATTGTGTAAATGAGACTGTAGTTGTGGTTTAGTTACCCCATGAGTCAATGTCAGAAGAGAAGAAAAGAGATGAGCCATAACAAAATAATTATTAACTACTACATGTACGCACGCACACAAGCACGCACACACACAGATTGTGTAATTGCCACGATTACACAGTCAACCTTTGTTTTCACATTACCCATCTCTATCCTTCCACCCCTCACTTACCTGCTGCAACCAACATGACCCAGTTTCTCACACTGTAGCTGCATGAGAGTCGAGGTTCCAGCACCCGTACGGTTAACTGTGCCAAAGGAGAAGTGCATAACCAGTCTAAAGTCCGTCAAAAGCTTCTCCGCATACAGATCAGAGGGATTTCACAACATAGCAGACTGCTGCATTAAACCAAGATGGAGATTCTGTCTGGAACACACATGCCGGGGATCATATGTCTGGTCCTTCTGATTGTTCTGTTGGCCTGCATCATGTACCATCCACTGAAGAAATACGTTCAGGACTGGAACGAGTTGAGGCCAATCCCTGGAGTGGAAGGAGCATATCCAATCATTGGGAATGCACTTCTTTTCAGCACTAATGCAGGAGGTAAGATCCTCTCCCGCGAGCTGTATTTAGGTTAGGCTATCTAATATTAATAATAATGATTAATTAATAATTAATAATAATACGCAATAATAGTATATTTTCTATTTTTTGGTAGATTTCTTCAACCAGATTATTGAAGGCACTAAGGAGTTCAGACATTTACCATTGCTGAAGGTTTGGGTTGGACCCCTGCCATTGGTGGTCTTATTTCATGCAGAGACTGTGGAGGTAATCGGCACACTGCTGGGACTTTTTACAACTTTTGTTACTGTTGACACTGACTGGATAATCATCAGATACCGTCAGAGATATAGCACATTACCTATCCATTCAGCATAACTTTAATGTTTAAACTTAATTTGGATCCCCATTAGCTGATGCCATGACAACAGCTAGTCTTCCAATCTTTAGTTAATTCTGGTCTCTTTTTCTGGCTCTGTTCTCATTGTCATGCTCATTTCATTTGTTCTCTTCCAAGGGGATTCTGCACAGTTCCAAACACATAGACAAGGCCTATTTCTATAGGTTTCTGCAGCCTTGGCTGGGTACTGGCCTACTCACCAGGTAGGCCATTTTCCTCCTCCTTCCTTACCCCATTATCAAACACAGTATTGGCATTGAGGACTTTAAACTGATTGCATATAGATTCCAATGTTGATTGCATCCCAAATGGCACCCTATTCCCTTTATAGTGCACTACTTTTAACCAGGGCCAATAGGGCTATTTTGTCACACCCTGACCTGTTTCACCTGTCTTTGTGATTGTCTCCACCCCCCTCCAGGTGTCGCCCATCTTCCCCATTATCCCCAGTGTATTTAGACCTGTGTTCTCTGTTTGTCTGTTGCCAGTTCGTTTTGTTTCGTCAAGCCTACCAGCGATTTGCCCCTTGCTCCTGTCTTTTTCAAGTTCCTGTTTTCTAGTTTTCCCGTTTTGACCATTCTGCCTGCCCTGACCCTGAGCCTGCCTGCCGTTCTGTACCTTGTCACACCACCCTGGATTATTAACCTCTGACTGCCCTGACCCTGAGACTGCCTGTCGTTCTGTACCTTTTGGACCCTGATCTGGATTATTGACCTCTGTCTGCCCTTGACCTGTCATTTGCCTGCCCTCTGTTTTTGTTATAAACTTTTGTTACTTTGACACTGTCTGCATCTGGGTCTTCTCCTGAAACGTGATAGTACGAACTGGCCATGACTGACACAGCAGACTCGGACCAGCTCCGCAACGCCATCTCCTCCCAAGGAGCCACCATTGGAAGGCACGAGGAGTTGCTTCGTGGTCTCATGGAAGGGTTCCAGACCTTGGCCGAACACCATGTCTGAGCGTTTAATACATCTGTTAGGCAGCCTACCACGACGGTAACCTCCCAGTCCCTCAGTAACCCGGCTGTTAGCAGCGCGGCCTCCCCGGCCACTCCGGTTTCCCAAGAACCCCGCTTCCCTCCCCCGGAACGCTTCGCTGGAGAGTCTCTAAGATAGTGTACCTCATCACGCTGATGTCCAGGATGGGCTACGGCAGTGTGGGAACAACAGTCGGCCGTATGCTTCAGTCTGGAGGAGTTCATGCAGGAGGTAAAGAAGGTTTTCGACGCTCCATTGTCCGGGAGAGAGGCTGCCCGGAAGTTACTCCAGCTTCGGCAAGAATCCCGCAGTGTGGCCAAAGTCGGGATCTGCCGGTAGTTCCTGGGCTGCAAGCTCGGATAGATGGGCGACTACAGGAGCGAAGGAAGGAGAGGAAGGATTCCACCTCGCCTCCGAGGCATCCCGGAAGTCCCCGACGGCTCCGTTGCCCAGAGAACCCGAGGCTACCCGAGTTCCCCTGAGAGTCTCCGAAGTCTTCCGATTCACCTCTTCCCGAGCCGATGCAACTAGGCAGAGCTAGGCTGTCTCCAGCCGAATGGCAATACAGGCTTCACACAAAGAGTTGCCTGTATTGCGGGACTACTGGTCATTTTGTGTCCACCTGTCCACTAAAAGACCAGGCTGACCGTTAGGAGCGAGTACTCTGGTGGGCCATACGGAAATGTTTTCCTCTCCCCTTACTCGCACCCCCTTTCATGCCATCTTGCCATGGGGGAACCAGTCAAAATCTCTCTGGGTACTCATCGACAATGGGGCCGATGAGAGCTTTCTGGACGCTACCGTGGCGTCCGAGCTGGGCATCTCCACTCAGCCCCTCTCCATTCCCATGGATGTTAGAGCTCTGGATGGGCACTCTGTAGGCTGGGTCACCCACAATACCATCCCCATCAACCTACGAGTATCAGGGAACCACAGCGAGACGATCCAATTCCTGCTAATGAAGTCTCCTCAGGTTCCCGTGGTATTGGATTTCTCTTGGCTCCAGCGATACAACCCCTTTATTGACTGGTCTACTGGTGCCATCACGGGCTGGAGCCCGTTCTGCCACGCTCATTGCCTGAAGTCAGTGCAGCCTTCCCCGGGACATCTTCCTGGGGGCTCGGAAATTGCCTCTGACCTCTCCGCCATTCCCGCAGAGTACCAGGACCTCCGGTAGGTGTTCAGCAATGCCAGGGCGACTTCGCTTCCGCCGCACCGACCCTACGACTGCGGAATCGACCTTCTCCCTGGCACCACTCTGCCCTGGGGACGACTGTACTCGCTGTTGGGTCTGGAGACCAAGGCTATGGAGACCTACATTGAGGAATCCCTAGCTGCCAGGTTCATCCGTCCTTCTGCCTCCCCCACCGGCGCAGGGTTCTTCTTTGTGGAGAAGGAGGACAAAACTCTGCGCCCATGCATCGACTACCAGGGTCTCAACGACATCACGGTGAAGAAATGCTACCCGCTGCCACTCATCTCCCCGGCCTTCGAGCCGCTCCAGGGGGCCAACGTGTTCTCCAAGCTGGACCTACGGAACACCTACCATCTGGTGCAGATACGGGAGGGGAACGAGTGGAAGACTGCCTTCAACACAGCCAGCGGTCACTACGAGTATCTGGTCATGCCATTTGGCCTTACCAATGTTCCAGCTGTGTTCCAGGCCCTGGTTAATGATGTTCTCCGTGACATGTTGAATCGGTTCATCTTCATCTACCTCGACGACATCCTCGTCTTCTCCCGCTCCGCCCAAGAACACGTACTCCACAACCGACTGGTCCTCCAACGCCTCATGGAGAAATGTGAAAGTGGAGAAATGCGAATTCCATCGCTCCACCATCCCCTTCCTGGGCTACATCATCACTGCAGGGAGTGTACAGATGGGTCCCGGGAAGGTGAGAGCGGTGGTGGATTAGCCCCAGCCTACGTCCAGAGTGCAGCTGCAACGTTTCCTGGGATTCGACAACTTTTATCGCTGCTTTATCCGGGGTTACAGCACCCTGGCTTCCCCCCATCTGCACTCACCTCTCCCAAGGTTCCGTTCACATGGTCCCCAGCTGCGTTCCGGGACCTCAAACACCGTTTCACCACTTCTCCCGTCTTGGTTCATCCTGACCCATCCCGCCAGTTTGTGGTGGAAGCCGACGCTTCGGATGTCGGAGTGGGGGCGGTCCTGTCCCAGCGTTCGGCCCTGGACCTCAAGTTACATCCCTGCGCCTTCTTCTCCCATCGCCTCAACACCAAGGAGAGGAATTACGATGTGGGAAATCGTGAGCTTCTCACGGTGAAGATTGCGTTGGAGGAGTGCAGGCACTGGCTGGAGGGGGCGGAACATCCGTTCATTGTGTGGACAGACCACAAGAACTTGGAATATCTCGGCACCGCCAAGTGTCTCAATTCCAGGCAAGCTAGATGGGCCCTGTTTTTCACCTGGTTCAACTTCTCCCTCTCATACCGACCGGGATCCAAGAATGTCAAGCCAGATGCACTTTCACGCCGCTATAGCCTCGCTGCTACACCCCGGAATCCGAGACCATCCTTCCCACCTCGTGCTTGGCGACGGCACTCAGTTGGGGAATAGGAAAGCAGGTCCGGGAGGCGCAGCATTCCCAGCCGATAACCGGATGTTTGTTCCTGACGCTGTCCGCTCCTCGGGCCTGGAGTGGGCCCACTCCAGGCTTGCCTGCCACCCGGGCTCCCGTCGGACCCTGGCCTTTGTGCGACAACACTTTTGATGGCCTACCATGGTTCCTGACGTCTCCGCGTCCGTCGCCACCTGCACGATCTGTGCGCAGAACAGGACTACTGACCTCTGCCTGCCCTTGTCCTGTCGTTTGCCTGCCCCCTGTTTTTGTAATAAACATTTGTTACTTCGACACTGTCTGCATCTGGGTCTTCTCCTGAAACGTGATATATATAAAGAATAAGATGCCATCTGGGACATACTCCAGGTAATGTTCTCTCTGTCCTGACTCTAACAGCACAGGGGATAAGTGGCGTGGCAGAAGGAAGATGTTGACCCCGACTTTCCATTTCTCCATCCTGGCTGAGTTTCTGGAGGTGATGAATGAGCAGGCTGAGGTTTTAACACAGAAACTGGAGAAGCAGGCGGGAGGAGATCCATTCAACTGTTTTAGCTACATCACACTCTGTGCTTTGGACATTATTTGTGGTGAGTGACTGATTTTGGAATGGCACTGTAAAATAAACTCTCCAAATCTGTGATCAAAATCATTTGTAATAAATGCCACATTGTTTCCTATTTTTTGCTTTGGTTTCAGAAACAGCAATGGGAAAGAACATCTATGCACAAAGTAACAGTGACTCTGAGTACGTCCGCAGTGTGTACAAGTAAGTAATAACATGTTAATAAACATGACAGTCTTATACACTGTCAACATCCTGTCTACATCCTGTCTGTTAGATTTACTGAGCTCTCTTTACAGAATGAGTGACATCATCGGCCGTCGCCAGAGAGCTCCCTGGTATTGGTCAGACTTCATCTACAGTCTGTTATGGGAGGGGAAGGACCATGACAATAGACTGAGGATCCTCCATTCATTCACTGAGAGTGTGAGTACATCTACTGAGGTCTTTAAGGTACTTATTGTATGTCCAACACTTTAGCGTTTGTGGTTTGGACTGCCAAAAATGATCATGCTAACAAAATGGTTATTACAATATATAACAGATAAGAAATGATTCCAGTTGATTGACTCTTGTCTGTTATATATTATAATAACCATTTTGTTAGCATGGCTATTGGCACAGATTTATTTTGAACAAAAATGAAATATAAATGTATGGTATTAATGTTTGTGTAATCTCCAGGTGATCAAGGAGAGAGCAGAAAGCATGGAGAATGAAGGTTCTGACAGTGAATCTGACCATGGTATCAAAAGGAGAAGACTTGCCTTCCTGGACATGCTGTTAAAAGCCACTGATGAGGAGGGAAATTACTTGTGCCATAGTGATATCCAAGAGGAGGTGGATACCTTTATGTTTGAGGTAGTGTAACAAAACCCACCACCAGTATGATCACACATTTAGCATGTGACTCCACTGAGTTCCTCGGCAATAGAACAAGACTTCACACTGTAAGTGGGATAGTTCCTCTTTGTACTTGAAATTACTACATGTACATTAGACAACTGCTCATAACCCTAATGCGTCCCAAATGGCACCCTATTCAACACAACCCTAATGCGTCCCAAATGGCACCCTATTCAACACAACCCTAATGCATCCCAAATGGCACCCTATTCAACACAACCCTAATGCGTTCTTCTGAATGATTGTGTGTGGTTAGGGCCATGACACCACAGCAGCCTCTATGAACTGGGCCCTTCACCTACTGGGATCCTACCCTGAAGTCCAGACCAAGGTCCAGGAGGAGCTCCAAGTGGTGTTCGGTAAATACACTCCTTCTTTTCATTCATATTCCTGTTCCTCTTCCCATTTGACAGTTGTTTTACATATATCCACGTCTCTCTGTCTTAATACTGCTTTACATTGATATTGATCTTCTCTCCTCTTCCGATGTGACCATTGTATTATAAAATACCATCCATATGTCCCTCTTTTTCCCACCCAGGTTCCTCCAACCGCTCCGTCACCGTCGACGACCTGAAGAGGTTACGTTACCTGGAATGCGTCATCAAGGAGACCCTACGCCTCTTCCCCGCTGTGCCCATGTTCGCACGCACCGTCAGCGACGACTGTCACATCAGTAGGTGGCAGCAGATTGTCCCAAAGTGCACGTTTACCTGTAAAACGCCAGCAGACTGAGATCCTCCCTGTTTGAAGCCATCTCAGTGAAACAGCACATGTCAGGTCTGGCAGCCTGTTCTCCATTCATCCCGCTTTCCGTAAAAGCATTTTCTGATAGCGTAACACCAAGGCGGAAGCAAATGGGTGGAGTTCACTGTTGTTCTGTCTCGTGTTAGTAATTCGGTCTTCCTTCTCAGGCTGGGCAAGCATCTGTTAGTCTGAGTTTGGATAAATGTCACTCTTTGCCAAAGGACTGAGTTTGATTCCACTGTGTGACCAAGCAACACCCCTACTTAATACAAGTCAGTGTTTACTGCAGGGAGTAAATATTGACATGATGATTCACGCAACTGTCAGCACAATGAGCCCACAGTTAGAAATTAATTACATGTAATTCCATGACTGATACTCAATATCATCCCATTGCAGATGGCTTTAAAATTCCTAAAGGAGTGAATGCCCTGATCATTCCCTTCGCCCTGCATCGCGATCCACGATACTTCCCGGATCCCGAGGAGTTCCGGCCAGAGCGTTTCCTAATAGAGAACAGCACAGGACGACATCCCTACGCATACATCCCCTTCTCCGCTGGACCCAGGAACTGCATTGGTCAGCTCAGGACATATTACCATTCATATCTCTCTCTCCTCTTAATATGGGTCTAATATACAAACCATGATATATCAAAATGATGGCAATGGTACAGACACAGGGCAAGGACTCAAGTTGAATCAAAGACGCAGCTAAATGGTTTTGACCCACAGTCTGGCTTCAGGAAGTGGAAAAAACCCTGAAAGGAGAAGCTCAATTTAGGAGGGGTCACATTGCATTTAGGCCAACACTTATTATGAAACAGCTTCCTCACTTACCTCTTTTATGCTCCCATTCTCTTTAAGAGCCTGCTCTTCCTCAAGAATCAATCATCCATTTAGCGAGGAGGAGCAAAGGAGCACTGACTCTCCATCTCCTGAGAGGAGAGCCGCTGCCGCCAATTAGCCTTGTCTCCCACACACTGAATGAGACAGATTGTTTCTCACCTCAAGATGATGGCAGAGAGAAAGGGAGAGAGCTGGAGAGAGAGGACAGAGAGAGAGAGGAGAGGGAGAGAGAGAGAGAGAGACAAAGAGAGAGACCCACAAAAGCATTCCCACAAAAGCTGAATGAAAGAAAACAGTTCTCTGATTTTACAGCCAGATAGTTGTCTACTGTATGTCTGAAATCTGTCTTGCCTACTACTTACTAAAACTACAGACTGTGTACTAATACTACTACTTACTAAAACTACAGACTGTGTACTAATACTACATACTATTTTGAACTATTTTGATTATCAGCTGTTGTGAAACACCTGTGAGTGTGAAAAGACAATTCTCTTCCTCAATAGTGTGCAGCAAATTCTACTTGATAAAAATACGAAATTAGTATGACATCCTGGCATTTAAAGCATACTCAAATTTCAAAATTTCACATACTATAAAACTTTGTATTTTCGAATACCCAAAAAGCCTACTATTTAGAACGCAAGTATGGGTATTCGGAAACGGCCTATGTCAGTGTATGGTGTCCTCACATGCATGTCTGTATGTTGTGTGTCTCCAGGCCAGCGGTTTGCCATGATGGAGGAGAAGGTGGTGCTGTCTTCGGTGTTGCGTCACTTCTCTGTGCGGGCCTGCCAGAGCCGAGAGGAGCTGAGACCTCTAGGAGACCTCATACTCCGACCAGAGAAGGGCATCTGGATTACGCTAGAAAAGAGACAACGCTAGAGAAGAGAGCCTAGTGAAGAGATGCTAGCCTCCACCTGCAAACAGCTTCCACTATGGTACTTTGTCATGTCGTAATACATTGTTTTGTTGTAGCCTCTTTCTGAATCTTGTGTCAACATTATAGCAAGTGTTTTTTTAATAAACAAAATGATGTATGAAGGTTAAATTGTTGTCTTTAGTTGAATAAAGCAAAACAGAGGGATTCTGGCTAGATTTACATTTACATTTTAGTCATTTAGCAGACGCTCTTATCCAGAGCGACTTACAGTTAGTGAGTGCATATATATATTTTTTTCATAGATAAATATATTTGCTAAATCACTATGTTTCTGATCTAATGATTAAGCTCCAATGGCGACCCGTCATTCAGGGCAGGTATGGCAGAGCACTGTTTAGCAAAAAATAAATAATAATAATACAACATTGTTATTTTGGCATTAATCCATGTCACATATCAGTTTGCATGGAGGCGAAAGAAACGCACACCTATTTAGGCAAGGTGCCGGCTAACGGAGTAGAACACCTATTTAGGCAAGGTGCCGGCTAACGGAGTAGAACACCTATTTAGGCAAGGTGCCGGCTAACGGAGTAGAACACCTGTTTAGGCAAGGTGCCGGCTAACGGCTAATTTGTTACTTCTAGGTTAGACTACTGCAATGCTCTATTTTCCGGCTACCCGGATAAAGCACTAAATAAACTTCAGTTAGTGCTAAATACGGCTGCTAGAATCCTGACTAGAACCAAGAAATTTGATCATATTACTCCAGTGCTAGCTTCCCTACACTGGCTTCCTGTTAAGGCAAGGGCTGATTTCAAGGTTTTACTGTTAACCTATAAAGCGTTACATGGGCTTGCTCCTACCTATCTTTCCGATTTGGTCCTGCCGTACATACCAATACGTACGCTACGGTCACAAGACGCAGGCCTCCTAATTGTCCCTAGAATTTCTAAGCAAACAGCGGGAGGCAGGGCTTTTTCCTATAGATCTCAATTTTTATGGAACAGTCTGCCTACCCATGTGAGAGACGCAGACTCGGTCTCAACCTTTAAGTCTTTACTGAAGACTTATCTCTTCAGTAGGTCATATGATTGAGTGTAGTCTGGCCCAGGAGTGTGAAGGTGAACGGAAAGGCTGGAGCAACGAACAGCCCTTGCTGTCTCTGCCAGGCCGGTTCCCCTCTCCACTGGGGTTCTCTGCCTCTAACCCTGTTGCAGGGGCTGAGTCACTGGCTTGCTGGTGCTCTTTCATGCCGTCCCTGGGAGGGGTGCGTCACTTGAGTGGGTTGAGTTACTGACGTGATCTTCCTGTCTGGGTTGGCGCCCCCCCCTTGGTTTGTGCTGTGGTGGAGACCTCTGTGGGCTATACTCGGCCTTGTCTCAGGATTGTAAGTTGGTGGTTGGGGATATCCCTCTAGTGGTGCGGGGGCTGTGCTTTGGCGGAGTGGGTGGGGTTATATCCTTCCTGTTTGGCCCTGTCCGGGGGTTTCTTCGGATGGGGCCACAGTGTCTCCGGACCGCTCCTGTCTCAGCCTCCAGTATTTATGCTGCAGTAGTTTATGTGTCGGGGGGCTGGGGTTAGTTGGTTATACCTGGAGTACTTCTCCTGTCTTATCCAGTGTCCTGTGTGAATTTAAGTATGCTCTCTCTAATTCTCTCGTTCTCTCTTTCTCTCTGAGAACCTGAGCCCTAGGACCATACGTCAGGACTACCGGGCATGATGACACCTTGCTGTCCCCAGTCCGCCTGGCCTTGCTGCTATTCCAGTTTCAACTGTTCTGCCTGCGGCTACGAAACCCCTACCTGTCCCAGACCTGCTGTTTTCAACTCTTAATGATCGGCTATGAAAAGCCAACTGAGAGACCTGAGCCCTAGGACCATACGTCGGGACTACCGGCCGTGGTGACTCCTTGCTGTCCCCAGTCCGCCTGGCCTTGCTGCTATTCCAGTTTCAACTGTTCTGCCTGCGGTTATGGAACCCCTACCTGTCCCAGACCTGCTGTTTTCAACTCTTAATGATCGGCTATGAAAAGCCAACTGAGATTTATTCCTGATTATTATTTGACCATGCTTGTCACTTATGAACATTTTTGAACATCTTGGCATGGTTCTGTTATAATCTCCACCCGGCACAGCCAGAAGAGGACTGGCCACCCCTCATAGCCTGGTTCCTCTCTAGGTTTCTTCCTAGGTTTTGCCTTTCTAGGGAGTTTTTCCTAGCCACCGTGCTTCTACACCTGCATTACTAGCTGTTTGGGGTTTTAGGCTGGGTTTCTGTACAGCACTTCGAGATATTAGCTGATGTAAGAAGGGCTATATAAAATAAAATTGATTGATTGATTGAACGGAGTAGAACACCTATTTAGGCAAGGTGCCGGCTAACGGGGTAGAACACCTATTTAGGCAAGGTGCCGGCTAACGGAGTAGAACACTTGAAAAAGAAAAGGAGCTCAGATGTATATATCAGTTTGAAACAATGTAAAACATTTATATCATTTAGTTAATAAAGCTGCATACAAACATGGTCTCTTTTTTGCTTTCTTGAGTAAGGCAGCTCCAAAATGCAGGTTTTTCAGCCGAGCTCAGTGCTTTCTGTGGTGGTGGGGCAGCCAGTGGAAAATACGGAGCGTAAGGGTTGGTAATGTTCTTCAGTTGCGCTGTGATTGGCTCAGTGTTGTGTCACTCACAGGGACAAAATCTATGGGGAGAGCTCGAAAATTCAAGCCCCTTGGGTGCTGCCATAGAGTTACATTAGAAGTGCCCATCCAAGAAGGCTCAAGGTCATTGGCCACAGATAAAATGATGTCAAATCACGTTATATCTACCGTAGCTTTGATTAGACTGTGTCACGATCGTTATAATGAGTGGACCAAGGCTCTATAATGAGTGGATCTCTTTAATAGTGTACTGATCAACACGATACAAATAACAAAACGAAACGTGAAGTCCTCGGTCATACACAAACCTACACGGAACTAGATCCCACGAATAACAAGTGCACAAAAGGCTGCCTAAGTATGGGTCCCAATCAGAGAAAACAAGCAACAGCTGATTTTCGTTGCCTCTGATTGAGAACCACCCCGGCCAACATAGAAACACATAACCTAGAATATGAACATAGAAAACGAAACATAGACACTACACAAAGAAACTAACACCCTGGCTCAACATACAAGAGTCCCCAGAGCCAGGGCGTGACAGACTGATCATGTCAACATCATACTTTCAAAATCTTAGCTAGCAAGCTAGCAGTCATCATCATGAATCAAGTCGACAATCTACTGGCAAATCCTTTTTAATCCTTATCATATGAAGAGAAATGATGAAGAGGAATTATCGATAAAACGTATCGGTGCTCATTGGCCTTTGGACATAAACATTACACAACAAGATGGAAATCAAAAATTCCACAATGAGTGGTTTGGAAGGAATCAGTGGCTAACTGCAAGCATTGCAAAGCAATCATTTACATTTTAGTCATTTAGCAGACGCTCTTATCCAGAGCGACTTACAGTTAGTGCATACATTATTTATTTATTTTTTCATACTGACCCCCCGTGGGAATCGAACCCACAACCCTGGCGTTGCAAACGCCATGCTCTACCAACTGAGCTACATCCCTGCCGGCCATTCCCTCCCCTACCCTGGACAAATTGTGCACCGCCCCATGGGTCTCCCGGTCGCGGCCGGCTACGACAGAGCCTGGATTCGAACCAGGATCTCTAGTGGCACGGCTAGCGCTGCGATGCAGTGCCTTAGACCACTGCGCCACTCGGGAGAGAGCCTGCTATTCAGTGGAGTGGGTGTGTGGTCCAAGTCTGGGTTTAAGGGTCTCTTTACCAAACTTAAAAGGATAAACATTCAACATTGACATGCTGTCAATCCAGCATGATTTCTGCCGTGTTCAAAACAACTGGAAACTCGGAAGTCGGAAATATCAGACTTCAGTGAGTTCAAGACAACTGGGAACTCTGAAAAAAATGAGCTCCGACTGGGAAAAAACGTTTTCAACGGTCATCCAACTCGGAATTCCAAGTCAGGAACTCTGGCTTCTTTCTAGAGCTCCGACCTGAAGATCACTGATGTCATGATTCAACCTTGTTTTTTCTGAGTTCCCAGTTGTCTTGAAAGAACCATAAATCCAGAGAATGCTAGATTTTGATGACAAAGTTTGATGACAAAATCTGCCCAAAAAGGACCGCCGCGCCACCTTCCTGTTCAAGTGAGCACAGCACAACAAGGTGAGTCCAAAAATGTATTGTATGCTGCTGCATAAATGATGTAATATGCCAGGGAGATATGTACAGTGGGGAAAAAAGTATTTAGTCAGCCACCAATTGTGCAAGTTCTCCCACTTAAAAAGATGAGAGAGGCCTGTAATTTTCATCATAGGTACACGTCAACTATGACAGACAAATTGAGATTTTTTTTCTCCAGAAAATCACATTGTAGGATTTTTAATGAATTTATTTGCAAATTATGGTGGAAAATAAGTATTTGGTCACCTACAAACAAGCAAGATTTCTGTCTCTCACAGACCTGTAACTTCTTCTTTAAGAGGCTCCTCTGTCCTCCACTCGTTACCTGTATTAATGGCACCTGTTTGAACTTGTTATCAGTATAAAAGACACCTGTCCACAACCTCAAACAGTCACACTCCAAACTCCACTATGGCCAAGACCAAAGAGCTGTCAAAGGACACCAGAAACAAAATTGTAGACCTGCACCAGGCTGGGAAGACTGAATCTGCAATAGGTAAGCAGCTTGGTTTGAAGAAATCAACTGTGGGAGCAATTATTAGGAAATGGAAGACATACAAGACCACTGATAATCTCCCTCGATCTGGGGCTCCACGCAAGATCTCACCCCGTGGGGTCAAAATGATCACAAGAACGGTGAGCAAAAATCCCAGAACCACACGGGGGGACCTAGTGAATGACCTGCAGAGAGCTGGGACCAAAGTAACAAAGCCTACCATCAGTAACACACTACGCCGCCAGGGACTCAAATCCTGCAGTGCGAGACGTGTCCCCCTGCTTAAGCCAGTACATGTCCAGGCCCGTCTGAAGTCTGCTAGAGTGCATTTGGATGATCGAGAAGAGGATTGGGAGAATGTCATATGGTCAGATGAACCAAAATGTTAAAAACTCAAAGAATGCTGAGTTGCATCCAAAGAACACCATACCTACTGTGAAGCATGGGTTGGGGCTGTTTTTCTGCAAAGGGACCAGGACGACT